TTTACTGCATGTCAATGGTCTGCAAAGGCTAAAATCCCTGTGTTTCCTCCAGAGGGAGTTTCTCTCCCACACACTCGCACACACAAATTACAAATGAACAATTTATAACGACATAGTTTCAATAAAACAGAGAAGGTTGAACTCTAACCTGACATAAAGATCTGAATCTGGGTGAGATCATTTAAAATGTGAAGAATATATATCTCTTATTTCCTCTAAAGGAAGCAGTTCAGCACATTTGATGAACATGATGTTACTTGGATACAAGTGTCAGCTAAATGCACGTGTTTCAATTTAGTAAAGGTTGACAGTATGATCAAAAAGCAGATTATCAAACTCAATAACAACACACTGTAAAACCTAACATCGTGTTAAATAATAATGATTAAGTAAGCCTTACTTATGTTTAATTAACTTGTTATTAACACTCAGTTTAAATAATTAAGCTGTAATGCGGGGTCGAAAAACCTAACTAACTCAATGTAATTGATGTGAGCTAATTTAGAAAAACTAAGTTAGTGGAAATGGGGAACATTATGACATGCGCAGATCACTCCTTGACCACTTGGCGCTCAAAGTTACTTTCTGGAACATTTACGAGCATGCCCTGCAGCAGATGGACGTTTCCTCAATGGCTAGCCGCTATGGTCATTGTCATTGTCGCATTACAGGGAATCTTGTGCTTTGCACACTGCTTTGGTGAGTACATATTAACATCCCAACCGTTTTGCTGTCTTGTTGTATTTAATCTCAAGGTTTATATGCTTGCTAGTTAAGATAACATTAGCTAACGTTAGCTAATGTTAGCTAATGCTATCTTAACTATTGCAGACATAATGTGGCGAAATCGTGTTGCAGCTTGGCTTACTTATTTCATAATACACGTTTTGCATTCTAAATCAGGTAAATACAACACTGTAGTTTCTAAATTTCTGTATACGTGATGTTTGATTGTTTTTATTGGTTTGTCGTTCTTGATTTTCAGATTTGCCAAGCAGATAGAAAACCTTCGATGCAGTGGAACTGTAAGTTCTGCTCATTTTTCATTATCATAACATTTGGCAAAGATTATTGTTCTAATTTTTTGATCGACTAATCAATTAGTAAACAAATAGTTGCAGCAATAAATCAAAACAATATTATATTAATTATAGAGGCCTGAAATCTCAGCATACAATATTATATTGTTGTGGGCTAGACGTGTACCCTGCCTTTCTATCTAAGCCATAGTGGTTGCCTGCTTGCACAATTGTTATGATTTAAACTAATGTCTCCTACGGATGTAACGATATACCGAATATCGCGGTAAATAAACTAGGGATCGACCGATATGGCTTTTTCAAGGCCGATACCGATTATTAGTAATCAAGGAGACCGATAACCGATATTTGGAACCGATATACATTTGGCTAGCTAATGAGCTCCACATATCAACCTGAAAAACTGCGAGGCTCCACTCGCATTCCCCCCCCCCACCAACCAGTTACTCCGCTGCGAGACGGTGCACAAACCCCCAACTCTGACTGACTTCCCGCGTCCCTGTGTAACTGGGAAACTGATAGAATTGGATCATAAGATCGTGGTGTTTTTGCAACTTCATCATAGGGGATTGGGATGTTTATTGAACTTCGGTTTAACACATGTATGGCTCTGCCGCTCAGCGCTGCTGCTTGCTTCAGTCTGTGTCTGCGTTCTTTCGCACCTGCCTGTAATCTGAGAAGGTCCCGCCTCTCTGGCTGGCTCCCGCCCGGAAAAATCTTCAGTAATAGCCTATCAGATAGCGCTGTGGGCGGGACATTGCTCGTGTACACAGAGTGGTGACTGCAGCCAGAGAAACAGCCGCATCAGAGCCAAAGTTTTATCGGCAATAGAGAGGCGAAGTCACGCCCATCTACTTCCGGTCCATGGGACCCCGGAAGCGAAAAATTATACATTGAATTCAATGGAGAGAGAAAACGTATCTTTTGATCCCGTTTGAATTGTGCCACGAACTACACATATGATGTTTGTCAATCTTAAACAATAATTTCCATGTCAAAAAAGTCACATTTTGTCGTAAAACTGTTGAAATATAAGACTATGAAAAATACGCAACTAGAAAGACTACAAATCCCAAATCCCATTCTGGGTCGCGTAAGTGATGTCACAGGCGATAATGCTCCAAGTGGTTGGTTCACTTTTACAAGATGCCTGTGTGCTTTGTACCAGGTTGTAATCACAAAAGTGATCATACCACTTGCTCGTTCTATCTTCCCGTCTGATGAAAGGACCAGGAGTCGCTGGATCAGACATATCAGGTAATATCATAGGTAATATACATGTTGTGCATGGAACATAGTCAAGTTAGCTACTTAGCTAGTAGCGACGTGTAGCGAGCACGTTAGTTAGCATTACATTACTTAGCCTTGTCATTTTTAGTAGCCTTACCATGAAGTTATTATTTTATTACATGAAGTAAACCAAAATGTTAAACAGTAACCAAACATGATGGTAAGTATTTCGTGAAACTTTTGAAGAGTAGCCTACTGCGCCTCCACCGGGTGCAGATTTACAAATCTCAACCTGTCGTTCAATGGACAGCTTCCCCCCCCCATCTATGTATATACTCGCATTTTAGACTCTGTTACTAACTGTATATCTGTAGACTTGGTATGTCTTAAATGTCCGGTTAGGATGTATTAGAACGAAATCTAAAATGAAAATTGTAAATAAGCAATCTGTATGTAAAAAAACCACCTGTATGTAAATTGTAAATAAGCCATCTGTATGTCAAATATGTCTTATATGTCTTAAATGACATGATGAATTGGAAATGGGGGACCCTGATGTAAACAAGACGAAAGTCTTTCTCTGGTCTGCATCCCCTTAACAATTGTATGTTTTGAGCTGTACCCAATATTCAAGCTGTTAATAAACTTTTCAATCAATCAATCAATGCTAAGGAAGCAGTTCAGGGAGAGTCGAAGGCAGGCATGGAGCTTTGCATGACATTCTTCTGGACGTGTTTCATTGTAATGACAGTGAGGGTGAGTCAATCTGTTTGTTGGAAAGACAGTCGTTGTGTGCTTATTGAGAGAAAATTGTTAGAAGAGATAATTATTCAAAGTGTTGTTACTTTAAAGCAGGGGTCCCCAAACTTTTTCCTGTGAGGGCCACATAACTTTTCCCTTCTCTGATGGGGGCCGGGTCAGTTTGTAACAGAAAAAGTGTGACGATCGCATGGGTGTCTAAACGTAAACATTTATTGTTTTCTAGAAAGCCACACATAACCAAATATTAATAACCCTTTCCGGGATCTTCACAGACAAAAAGTCAGGAAATAAATAATAACACTATTAATGAAATAAATAACACTATTTATGAAATAAATAATAACCAAATAACCCTCTCTGGGTTCTTCACAGAAAAAAAGTCCATTGAAAATTACTGTAACTTTCTGTTGTGCCGTGCACAATCTTAACAGGTAAAAGTTGAGCTTAGTTGTCAGAGCAGAATCTCTCAAAATAAACGTGGATTTACGTAAAAAAAAAAAATGTTTCGGGGTTCGGGTGTTTTGTTTGATTTTAAACAAACAAAGTCTTGGCTTTCAGAATATGAAACTTTTATTTCCAATTTATTTATTTCTCACTCGCAATCTGCTCTTCCGCAGCGCCGCCCCCCCCCCCCCCCCCCCCCTCACTCCGCTGAAATTATGAATGTAAGAGTATAGTAATCATAGATAACACTGCAGGGTCCATTACAGTTTGTTTTCATCTGATTCCAATTAAACAAAGTCTTGGCTTTCAGAATATTAAACTTGTTTCGGCAAATTCAGATGATAAATACAACTTTGAAGCTTCGGCATAATTACAAGCGGAGAACGGCAGGCATAACAACAGCCGGTGTTTATCGTGAGTGTTTTCCCCGGGAAACAAACACAATACACACAAACGCAAAATGACACACACACACACACACACTCGCGAGCTTCCCCTCCAAACGAAAATATCTTCCCTCGGTAGTATTTTGATCATTTGCTCCGCTAATAATCAGATCGATGTATTCCAGAGAAGAGACAACTTTGAAGGCCTTTTTCTCAAAATGATGACTCTGTGACAGTCATTATATAATGTGACATATTTCGCTTAATATTTGAAGTACAAAAACAATCCTGATCTCATGAGAAAGCTAGGAATATCCTCTTTCCAACAGTGTATACAACTCAAAAGGTGTCTTCGGGTCAATGCGACTGATTTCGATAGAGCAGGTCACAACATTTTGACAGGGGCTAGTCTAGGATTCGCGTGGCCAGACTGAAAAAAAAAAAAAAAAAATTTAAAAATCATAATGCATCTCTGGTATTGTTCAGGGGGCCGGGCCAAATGTGGAGGCGGGCCTTAGTTTGGGGACCACTGCTTTAAAGTGTTGTTACTGACCTTTTTCTCTTTTATTTTCTTTACCTCACCTGTAACTGCTGAGACGTTGAGGAACATGCACACTGACCTGCTCTGGCAACCTGATTTCCACTGTACGTAATAGTATTTGGTTATGGTATATTATTTATATACATCAAAGGCACAATGCACCCCCCAGAGACACACATGTATTGAGTGTGATATTTTGCATAGGTCATGTGAAATCATCTTTACACACTAGAAAACTGTAGGAGCGGCAACTTGTTTTGAAATAGAATTTTTAATATCCGATAATAAAGTTGATCTGTTTTCTTTATTCTTCTCTCTTCCCAGCTCCATCCATCACCATTCTCTGTTCCTGCAGGTCCTGCTTGCTAATCAATGCTCATATTTTTTTACACAATTACAAATAAAGTCATTGTATTGTATGACATGAAGTTGTGCTTCATTCGGAGTCAATAATAAATTCATTCTGCCTTCAACTGCACAATGATTGTGGACTGCACCGACATCCATGTAGCTGCCCCCCAGTAAGATGAACCAAG